GTTTTCAACGGCTGCCTCGCGGAATACAATGCCGTCGAGCTTCACCCTCGAGTTATGTTCCCTGCCTCTAGCGAATTATTTGACGAATCGGGAAAGTTCGGGACGAAATTAGCGCAACACTGCCAAGGCGAGTCGCGTGAAATCTCCGTTTCTAATTAAAACTTTCGATATCTCTACCGTGCCGCGCCGAGAGTCGTCGCGCGCGCCTCGTCACATCGAGAATAAAGAGTATCACTGGAGGGAGAGGCTCGTAGTTGGCTCAACGCAAAAAGCAAAACGCGAAAAAGAGAACGCGAGGAACGGGAAACAGGAGAAAGAAAACACGAGCAAATTACGGGCATAAAATAATGCTCTCGAAAAAAAGCCGGGGATAACCGGAAAACTGAAACGGCTGAAACGGCCAGCTACAAAGAGCGCTGCTATTCGTCACTTTCGTGTCACGGAGTTTTAACGCTCGCGTCTGGATTTTACCGTCCCGTTATTTAACAATGTAATCCGTGCCTGTGTGTGCACAGGGTGTTGCAAAATTGTAGATTTACGCGGAGTAGATTTAGATACTGGTAGAGCTCCCAAGAGTAAATAAGAAATTTCGGATATTTCTGGATATTTCGATCCACATTTGAAACTTCTTCATACGTAAGGTTCGTCGCAGGGGTTTGCATTTCAATCGCGCTTTCCGTGACACACGCACGTGACTGCGACGCGGCCTTGCCCCCACTCTCGCGCGGTATCAGCTGATCGTTCGACCACGCGCGGCCGGTCACCTGCGCTCACACCTGCGCGGTATGGCATTAAGAGGGCCTTTAACTCGGCGCTTTAACAGCCCTCTGTCTGTGCTGCTCTTTTTAGCAGACGATTGCAGCAGCAAAGTTTGTGGTGAATTTTAATCGGAGGGCTTTCTGCGCGACGCGCCTCTTTCGCTCGCCACGGAATCGTCCTTCGCGCGTGAAATTTATATCGCTTCCGCGTCTAAATATGCGTGCGAGGGCATTTTATCCGAGAAACGTTGAAAATCTGTATTCATCAAAACCTTCTCGCTCGATTTCACGAGTTCTGTCAGCCGGTCGGATCTTTCTACGTTTATAATTGTGGAAGACCCTCTGTACAAACGTGAGTCAAAAGTAAGGTTCGTAAAATTTGTATAGTATAGATGAAAAGAAAGAAATCGATATTCGTGATCAGTACGCGGTGAAAATTAAAAAAAACGTGGAGAATTATATCGGCCCTCGAATAGGACAGGATTCAATATTGGAACATTCGATATTATCAGCTTTACTTTCCGAGAGGCTACCTATATTTTACATTATTAACAAGATATTTTAACGCTAACGAATATTTGATACACACACTTTAGCGAGCGATGGATAAATTGTATGAATTTCGTAAGAATAGAAACGAAGCGCATTCACCTCCGAATGAGGACGATTTTATACATTGAAACGTCATTCGCGCACGTACGCTCGTTCTACTCATTTCCGACGCGATTCCGGGCAGGAACTTGCTCGAAAGACTTTAGCTGGCCGCTTGTCTGTAAGTCATTTCACGATAAATTCACGATTAAGCCAAAGAGCCGACTGTACCGTGATTAGAGACTGATACTTCGCAGCAGGCCCAGAGAGACCGTCGCCTTTGCAGTCGGCAGTTTCGCTCGACGAGTCGTCCAAATGTCGCGCCATCTAAAACCCAACTTCCCGACGTCGCTATGCACGTAGGTAGCTGGCTGTGCGAAAGCTCGAAGCGAAACGACTGCAACTACCGTCGCCAACTGGCGCCGCGACACTAACATCATTCGCATATACACACGTGCGCGTCACTAACGCCCTGCAACCTGTTGTTTTAGAGCTGGCCGAACTTTATAATGGCGCGCCTCGTATGCGTTTCGCCGAATGTCCGACATGGGATTAGACTCGAGAGCTTAAAACGCGCATATACAGGCGAAAGCTGCGGGACTAACCGGATAGACCGCGAATTTCGTAATTGCGGCGTGATGGGTTTTAGCGTGCCCACGAGGCAGGATCAGCAGCTCCAGTTCGTAATTACGGCCGCGGACAAGTGCGTCGAATACGAATCTCGGCCGAGTTTTCCTCCCTCCCTCCGTCCCGTCGTCGTTGTCGTTCTCGTTGTCACTCTCGCGCGACTGATCGTCGGAGCAAAAACCGCGAACAATCGCGAGCGTGACGATTCCCACGGAGTTGCGAAGTTTCTAAGTCGCCGCGAGTAAACCAAGTGGTTTACACGCGCGCTTGGCCCGACATGAGAGACGCCGGTCGGAGTTGCCGCTGTTTAACTGATTCGCCGGGGAGAGTGAGCTGCTGAACAGCGCCGAAGTGAATGACAATTAACGGACCAGGTTGCGCGACTCCTATATTTGCACAGCGTACGAAGATACGTTTAGCTCCCGTGTCATTTCGCGCGCGGCGCCTTCATTTCCATGCGCAAATAATATTCCGAGCCAATTTTGCTAACCCGGCCAACGTAGAGCTCTAGTCGGCGCTGGTATCTACGCGCACCGGTCCGTTTTACGAACAAAGAGAGAGAATGGTAGTGAGAGGGGGGAAGAGAGAGAGAGAGAGAGAGAGAGAGAGAGAGAGAGAGAGAGAGAGAGAGAGAGAGAGAGACGGAAACCTTTACGCGATCGGCGCTCAATTATCTCGCTCTCTCGCTTTGCATCAGTTTTCGATCGTTGTCGGAATAATTGCTTCTCTCCCTTCAGCTTGCTAATTGTAACTGGCGGGTATATGGGCGAATTTTTGACGGAGTGCGCTCCTCAATAGATATTGAATTCCCGGCTCTGCTGAGAAAAAGTTTCTCCCTTTCAACCCGATCTCAACCCGAGGCGCGTTTAGCGACCCATTTAACGTCGCGGATCTGCAGGATGCACATAAAGATCGCGTTTGCTCAGTTTTCATCGACGACGACGAGGAGGGGGAGGAGGAGGAGGAGGAGGAGGAGGAGGAGGAGGATGGACTCAAGTCGCGAGTTCCACGCATCCGTGCGGGAGAACGCGCGCTCTTCAAGTTTAATACAAATCCCGGCCGCGCAGTAAGCCGTCTGCTTTCGGGAGCTGCGACGCAGAGGGGGAGAGACTGATGATGACATTTTTTCTTGAACTTGCTAGCTCCCGGTTCACATTCGCAGCTAGTTCGTCAAAGTTGCGGCGCGGCCGCTTTTGTCCCCGCAATGCGAAACTGTCCCCATCGAAAATGAACTCGCGGTGCGCGGACGCGGCCGCTGCTCCTGCGCTCTCTTCTTTTCCTCGCTTCTGCCGTTTCCAGGTGCAAGCTGCTGTTTACGACAAGCCGTATCTCTCTATCTTACCCGTGCCTTCCTTACAGAAATTTTATTACACCCTCGTGCACACGCGCGCACACATAACACGCACACACTTATACTCGCACCCCGTCCGGCCGGGGTGTGCTTGATTTACATTCCGCTTCCAGGAGAATTCAGTTCTCTGCGAACGGTTTGTCCATTCCATCTGCTCGCGTAAATATAGAGATGGAGGGGGGAGGGGAGGAGAGAAACACTGTAGACGTCGAGTCGCGATGCCTACTGAATTCCGACGCACAGCCGAAGCTGCTGCATCGCCACCGAGATGCGGACGTCCAATACCCGCGAGTCATTTGGCGAGTCTCTCTCTCTCTCTCTCTCTCAGCACAATCGCTTATAAAACACGGAATTATGTTAATTTTGAGACTCCCCGTGTTACACGTCGAACGCGGCAAAGTCGTTGCGCGATCTTTTCTTCCTTTCTTTGCCGCTTTCCCCGCGATGGGAGACATGGTCGCTTTCTGAATGAGAGCGAAGTAGTTCCGGTCAAGAATGGAAGAGAGAGAGAGAGAGAGAGACCTGCGACGATATCTGCGCGGAATGTTACTTTAAGTAATGTCATCTCTCACGATTGGATTCCTTTAAATAGACTAACCGAGCCCCAGGAGACCGGCCGGAGCTCCGGCTTTCGAATCCGACGAGCGTTTTACGTCAGCGAACCTTTCCCCCTCCGTTCGCGTGGTTCGCGAGGGTGTAAGTCGGATTGCGGATGACGGCAGGCGGACGGCGGGGACGAGAGAATATGCGAAACGCATAATCAAACCTCGTCGCAAATTGCGTCTAGCGACGGCGATGTTTTCGAGCCGGGGTCGTTTACCCGGCGAGACCTGCAGCTACGGCGAATGTCGTCCATTGTATGTAATAAGGCTTCCAGAACAAACAAGCTGCGAGAGGAGACTCGCGCACAAGCGGCCCGCGATAGGAGATTTTACGGGATCACTTGCGACGTCCTTCTATGGACGCTGCTGCTTCTCGTTGTTTATTAACGTCTTGGAAACTAAAAGGATTCCGTCGTGCTTCTCGTCCCCCATGGTTCTCGGTACGTCGCGTCGCTCTGCGCGAAACTTGCCGTTTGTCTAATCGGTTCGATGCAGCTCGGGCAGGGTGTTGCGTGTTCAATTGTTTCGCCGCACTCTCGGGGTCTTTCTAAAAATCCGCCGCCACTTGACGGAGTTGAGTGCGATCTCGCTCTCGTTGTCGCAGCAGCGGAGGCTGCGTCCTCGCAGCAGGGGGATTTACTTAAGGAGTTTAATGTCTGAGATAGTTAAGTGTCGTTCTCTCGCGCACAATAATCGCGCGGCCGTTATACGATTCCGCCGGCGGACGATCTCTCCTCGCGGCGTTGTATCCACCATTGTGGAGCTATTACTCTCGGAGAAATCTTTCGCGCATTTTCTTGAAAACTTTGCCGCCTTGTAGCCTCCGATTTTCCGTTGCACGCGCTTCGGCAAACTTCGTCCCGGGGAAAGTTCCCCGGTCGAGTAATAAGGAAACTGTCAGAAGACGGCGGCCGTTCGCTGGAGGACCGATCCTGAAAATTTCGCCGCGCGAAATATTCAGGATCGGTCCTCGGCAATAATCGGCGTTGCGAAATTTTCGGCGTAGCTCCGCGGCGCAGAAGTGAACGCTGCCGAAGTTATTAACGAAATCATTTCTGCATTTTCTTGCAGGTGAGTTTCCGCATCCCCGTGGACTGCAAAAGCCAGGGAACTTGGCACCCGGCCAAGGTAGGACTCAGCTGCGTACACCCGTTCCGCTGATCTCGCGATTTTCAATAGTCGCTTTGGATATTGCGAGGGGCTGTATCGCTTCCGCGACGATTCATTTTAGATTCTTACGTTGAATCTTGATCATGAAACGAGGGCAAACGAGGACAAACGAGGACAGAGCTGTGCCACGGGAAAATATTAAAACAACGATGATTTAAGGATAAGGGGAGGGTCAGATTGCTGAAAAATCGTGCTTGTTTTTGACAATATTTTGCGATGAACTGAATAAATGTGCAAGAATGAAAATTTTAGGTATATTTATACAACATGTGAAGAGTAGAAAAATTTTGTTTATTAACAAATACTCATATAAATATACAATATATATAGCTGAAATATACTCTCCTTTTTTTTTTTTTTTTTTTCTTCAAGTTGCCGTTTTTGCAGTAATATCTCGGTACTCGGTGGTTCAATTTTATAAGGAGGCTTATCATTATCCGGTGAAGCACTATAAAAAAAAAATCAAACAAAATTAACAAAATGGCAGCTATTATTAGGAAAAATTTCAAATTTTTCAATTCTTTTACAATAAAAAAAATTAATATCTCGAAATATTGAAATATCTTGAAATATTTCGACGGAGTTGTCCATGGTTCACCTGAGAGCCACATGAACGGATATTATTGTTTTAAAATTTCAAATCGATACGAAGCTCAGTCTCGGAGAAATCACTGCAAAAAGTTGAACAATAAATTTTCGGGAAAAACGCATTTAAAATTCAAGTGGACGTATATTTATATGAGTGTTTGTTCAAAAACAAAATTTTTCTACTCTTCATATGTTATATAAATATATGTAAAATTTTCATTCTTGCGCATTTATTCAGTTCGTCACAAAATCATTGTCAAAAACAAGCACGATTTTTCAGTAATCTGCGACCCTCCAATCCCCTTAAAGCCAAAGTACAAAATGTCAATCTAACGAGAGAATTTGTCTGTAATACATTTGATTCGAAGTCATTTTTTCGCTACTTTGTTCAAACGCTATTTGGCATCTTTGAAAGTACATTAATCGCGCACGAGCACCGTACAATACCGTTGAGGAAAGACCCGTCCCACTCGCGAAGTCGCGGCTGCAGGAATATAAAAATTATAGTCTGATTTCGCACGCAAAGTCGGGTGGGGAACTCCATTGGAGATTTGCGCGCGGAGAAAATCGCGCGACGATTTCGCGAGGTCGTGAGAAAATTTCGCAAGAGTCTTTCAATATTCGCCCGTTGCGGCTTCCAGAACGCTCGCAGCTGTGTCCTAAAGTGCAATAGCTGGCCGCAAACGTGACTAGACGGATGCATTTCTGTACGCGCTCTTCCGTACGCTCTCTCGTTTGCTCGGAAACATAAACACCCACGATAGTCGCGTGTGATTGCGCCAAGTTACTCGAGACTCGACCGATGAAATGAATGGCGCATAGGGGACACGTGGCAACTCTCCGGCCAAGCATGTCGGCGGCTCAACTCGCGATGCAACTTCGAGGCGGCCGCCGCCTCATATTTTCTCCGCGGGTACTGCATTTTTCCGTTGTAAATTCCGGCGCGCGTCACGTTCTTTGTTCCACGAGAACGCGCGTCGCACAATTACGTGGAGCATAAGGAAAGCGAGGAGCCTCGAGCGACGACGCTTTACAAAACCGACTCTTTGTCAATGAAATAGATTATGCACGTCCGATTATCCTTAAATGCTGCAGGAAGAAGAACCGTGACGCAATGCTAGGGGGCGTTTCCTCGAAACCTCCCATTGCTTCAGTCGCATTCGTCTCATCGAACTCAATGGCCGACGAAAAAAAAAAGAAAAAAAGAGCGGAGAAATTACTTCGAATTTACAATCGCTTGAAGAGTATAAAATATACACTCCTATCTGATTTGCCATCGTTTCATATGCTACACTCTCTCTATGCTCACGGAACGATCGCTGCGAGTGCCGAAAGAACGAACAACGAATGTCGATTTTAATTACTCGGACGGAGAAAATTGTGCTCTCCGCGCGAAAGTAGAACTCGCAACGCGTTCTGAAACTACGTACACATGCGCGCTTCTCGGCAGAGTGCAGAGAGAGAGAGAGAGAGAGAGAGAGGGCGAAAATAACGCGCTGCAAATGATTTCACTTTGTATAATCCCTTATTATCTTCTTAGCGAGAGATTTCAGCCGAAAGTAGATTAATCCCTCTGCGCCGCACCGCGCGAAAAGATTAGAGATTTATTTCGCCGCAGGCGACAAGCGCGATAGGCGAGGCGACGCTACGTGGTCGACGTTGACCAAACGAGACAGGTGTTTGGCGTGATTGATGAATTAGTCGATGTAGCAGCGTATATTGCAGTGCGAGCTGGCTTGTAGACGCATTCATACACGCTTGATGTTCTCGATACACTATTGATATTCAGATTCCATAGAGGATATCAGGAAGTTGCTTCGTCGAGGTAAGCCGATTGGCAGCGAACCGTCAAGCATTCGCATCGTCTGCCAATCAGCTTACGTCAAGGCATCGCACAAGCACACGTACAAACACACGCACGCAGACACATTTACACGTACCCTCGCTTGTATCTGGTTTGGATCGTCCTTGCGCGCGCGCGCGCGCAAGGGCGGTTTAAGGAAACCAACCAGGATATTTGTAGCCCGCAGCACGTGCTTGAAAGGTGTCGACTAAGTTCGATGGCTTGACTCGATAAGCCAATAAACCGCGGACTCAAAGGCTCCCATCGAGCTCTGCCGCTCGATGGACGACGGGTGCTTCGCGGCGAGCGGCGGGGAGCAGCGGGGAAGGTGGGCCTCTGGTAAAGGGCGAGCGATAAATAAGGCAGCGGGGAGGCAAGAAAACCGTTCCGTGAGGTTTTAACGGTGCACCGGCGAGTCATTGGCCGTTGGTAAACGAAGCATGTGTTGAGGAACGGAAGGCGGGCTACATTATTCTCAAGTAGCGAGCTCCCAGCGCGAGTCCGGGGTCATTAGCAACGCTAATTCTCCCTATATTTACTCGCTCTCGCCATCTCGTAAAGAGTGAAGTCGCCCTTTGAGCGACAACGAAGAAACGATCGCGGCATTTGCTCAGGCGCGGTTAACGCCGCAAGACACGCCGTGTGTGTGTGTGTGCGTGTGCGTGCGTGCGTGCGTGTGTGTGTGTGTGCGTGTGTGTGTGTGTGTGTGTGTGTGTGTGCGCTAAAAAGCAAGTCTCTCCCGCTCGTCGAGTGTCGCGAGACGGCCGCAAAGAGAGTCTCTCTCTTGCTCGCCGAGCAGCCGGCGAATGCTCGCTTCGCAAACACGCGCGGCTCCGTAATTGATTTGTATATCGCGTTCGCCGAGTCGCCTCGTCCCTTCATCGCCGGTCCCGCCCATCGGCCCGCGAGAGCCACAGTTTTCCCACAATCGAGAAGACGGAAACGTCGAATCTGAAGAAAGGTGCTCGTCCTCGCCGCTCTTTCGCTCCATTCCGTACGCGACATTCTGACGCTCAGATATTCATTGTGCTTGAAAACTGCATGAGCTGTCTCCCGTCCTGTCGTCCTGCCGGCGACGCTTCGCGGCGGAAGAGCGACGGCGTCCGGGGGCTCATGTTCAGCTACGTTCCTTTTCGCGCAACCCTAACCACGCGGCTGCAACGTAAACACACGTAGTTTGCGCGCTGTGCTACCATTCCTTGCTACCATTCGACAGCGCGAGGAAGTTTGCGCGGCACATCTGCAAGATGCCGAGGGGGTGGAACGCGCAGCTGCTGTAAGTAACGTAAATACTCGCCGCGTAATGTACGTATATACGTACGAGAACGCAGGACGTTCGTTCGTTCGTTCGTTCGTTCGTTCGTTCGTTCGTTCGTTCGTTCGTTCGTTCGTTCGTTCGTTCGTTCGTTCGTCGTAGTGTTGGTGGTGCGCGACTTGTACGAGCTCGCGGCTCTTATCGCTGAGCAGCTTGGTGCGCTTGGAGCTCGGGGGATGTAATTATGGGACCGGAAAGAGAGACAAGGCGAGTGCAGAGAGAGAAAGAGCAAAGGAGGAGGGGGTGAGACGGGAGAGACCGTCTGCTATGCTGATAGCCGAAACTCTCTCTCTCTCTCTCTCTCTCTCTCTCTCTCTGTCTCTCTCCTCCCCGCGCCGCGGTGATGTCGGACGAACGTTCCGCTGCACGACTAAACGCTTCGACTGCGCTTTCTCCTATTTGGTTTCGCCTCGACGGAGGAACACGCTCTCTGCCAAATGGGGTGAGTACATATTGCACAGGGCAGGATATTCAGGACTTTTCTTCTCTCCCGTCTACCTTTCGGTAGCATTCAAACACGAGCGGCCTCATGGAGCAGCGGCAGTGGCGGTGGCGGCAGTCTCGGAAGCTGAGGAGAAAGAGAGAGAGAGAGAGAGAGAGAGAGAGAGCGAGAATAAGAGGAGGAGGCGGTTTAATTAACGGGGCCGCGTCCCGGTGTTTATTTTACGCGAAACCGCCGCGCGTTGCCGATGCTCGCGCGCGAGCCGAGTATCGTGCATCCCCGCGCTCCATTGAACGCTCGATTCTCGCCCCCCTCGTCCCTGCCCCCGCCGCGCCGGCCCGTGCGGATCATATTTCTCTTAAATGCTCGGTACTTAACGCGAGTGCGCCGATGAAAGATTTATACGGCCGTCCGTGCTCCCTCGGTTTCCGCTCCGGCAATTACCGGGCCGACCGGGAGTATGTCCCGGTGAATATCCCCCCCGCCGCGGTTGTCAGACTTACTTCGGGACCGGCGGTGTAATGGTCAGCCTCGCGGAGGAAATGGACCGGCAAGGCCGGCCGTGTATCTCTCGGGCGTGTGTGCTATACGCGGCCTCGACTGAGTACGAGAGAGAGAGAGAGAGAGAGAGAGAGAGAGAGAGAGAGAGAGAGAGAGAGAGAGAGAGAGAGAGAGAGAGAGAGAGAGAGAGAGAGAGAAAGAGAGAGAGCCGAGCTTTTGTTTGCGAAAATACCAGGCCGGTCGATACACACTGCCGCCGGTGTTTATTT